AAAATGACAAAGAATTACAAACACGCACAAATGTTCATCAAATACTGCTTTCACCATAACACTCTCATCTCCACATTTCCAGCATGGCAATCACCACTTTAACAATCAACTTATGCTTCTCTCATCGATGTTATCGCACTGTCCGCTGCTGAACAAGGCGGAGAAATCTCAAATCTGCTTGTCTGCAAGTTATGAAGTGACTGACATGGAGTTCGCGCTCGTGCAGTCAAGTGCATACACGCTGTTGTGTTGTATACCAGAAGACAATAATCACGACCGCATCAACGTGCATAGTATACTTGCATGTCCACATACCCACACCCATCCATGTACACACATGAAAATACAAATACAGTAGCACCAAGATACCCGCAAACCAACACGACTATAGGTTACAAAAAATCACAACCACACATACACGAGTACAAATAAGTACACATGCACACTATGTGCACGCAGTAATGATGAATGAAGAAAACACTCTACCGTGTTGATACTATGGTAGAAAAACCCACAATGTAGAAACTAGATACGCAGTAATGAATGCAAAATCGGTGTTTCAACAAACGACTTCCAGCTGATACAGAGAAATCCCCCACAAGGGCTTCAGGCGTAACGGGAGACACTTAATCCGCTTCAGTCGTCCCTATGTTCCTTTCGCGGCCGCAGGGGCCCTTTTCAGCCCAGAGGGACTCTGAGGCCCATTTCTGATATGTAGAATTTTTTGTCGACCGCCGTGGTCGGCACGACGCTTTAAAATAAACCCACTGACATCAATGAACACATTGACCGTGAATGGAGTTTGAATACGACGCGGAGTTTTGCCGTTTTCGGCTGAAATCAGAGTAAGTAGTGAATAACTTTTCGCCATAGTAACGTCTGCGGCGAGCGCTGTTGCTCACACATTTCGTAGGCTTCTTCCACAAACAGTGATCTTTGTCAACTTCATGGTGATTGTGTTTTGTCATGCTCAGCTGTCACTAATGTTAATACCTTTATTTGAAGAGCCGGGCTACCCACGGCGCTTTGCCGTGCTCGACACGTGTAAAAGTGCTCATTTATGCGAACAGATATTTGAGAGCATGGCGCCATGCTGTTCGTGATAAACGTCTAAAAGTCTATGCAACTGAAAAAGCACGGTGAGGTACGAAATATTCAGAAAAGGTAACTATTGCTAAATAGCAAGTAACGGGAAAGTATAATAGAATTATTGTATAAATGACAAAAATGAGAACAAATATGATGGGGACAACTCTCTCTCTGCGCGCGCGCACGTGTGTGTGTGTGTGTGTGTGTGTGTGTGTGTGTGTGTGTGTGTGTGTGTGTGTGTGTGTGTGTGTGTGTGTGTGTGTATGTGTGCATGTGTGTGTGTGTGTGTGTATGTGTGCATGTGCGTGTGTGTATATGTGCATGTGTGTGTGTGTGTGTGTGTGCGTGTGTGCGTGTGTGTGTGTGTGTGTGTGTGTGTGTGTGTGTGTGTGTGTGTGTGTGTGTGTGTGTGTGTGTGTGTGTGTGTGTGTGTGTGTGTGTGTGTGTGTGTGTGTGTGTGTATGTGTGTATGTGTGTATGTGTGTATGTGTGTATGTGTGTATGTGTGTATGTGTGTATGTGTGCATGTGTGTGTGTGTGTGTATGTGTGCATGTGTGTGCGTGTCTGTGTGTGTATACATATGTATACTTTCATAAAACTAAGATAATTAAAATGAGATCAGTGTCGCGGAATCTCATGGAATGAAAAAGCGAAAACATACGCATCGCGGGAAATCAGGAAGCAAATCTTCACACAGGATGGCGTAGAAACTTTGGCCGTATCACTTACCATTTACAAATGACTGCCGATGAATTTCCGAGGTAAGGCTATAGCAATTTTAATAATCTAAAAATGTTTGTCAATCAGGATCGACCGCCAGCAAATCTACATGGCCTCCCAGACGACATAATCAGTACTGTGGGGAAACTCTGTTCATGTCGCCCACAAACGCCGTCCGGTAATCAGAAAGCAATATCATTTCGAAAGCAAGCTCAAGCTCTTCTCTCCATGAGGACGTTCGAGACTCGAACCTACCGGCGCCGATGGGGACGGAGATGGGCGAGGGCGGGGGGGAGGAGAACTCGGTCAGCTGGGATATGACTCGCATCACCGACGCCCTCTCCCACGGCTCGTCGAACACGTCGTTGCAGCTCATGGTATCATCCTCATCGTCATCACTGTGCTCTTCGTCGTCGCCGTCGCCTCGTTCCCCTCCGCTCTCTCCTTCCAAGGCGCCGACCCTTCGCCCGCCCTTGCTTTCTTCGGGACTCTCCCTTCCTCCGTTCTTTTCCTCCCGCCCCTCCATCATCTCTCCTTCCTCTCCCTTTCGAGCATCCTCCTGCGCCTTATCCAAGGCCTCGACCAGCGTGCTTATCAGCTCCTCCTTCAGCATGGTCAAGTTCGAGTTTCTGACGAACGCTTTGTCTTCCATCTGCTCGCCACCCTGTGCGCATGTCGAGGCCATCGTGTCTGCGGGGAAGCGAGTTACGACTCTGATGAGAATAAAATGAATCAAGGGGCTTCGAATGACGGTGTTCTGCAGCATACAATAGCCGAGCGAAGAGGCCTATAAACATTAGACAGCTTATTCACTGAACTGCACTGCAAAACCTGCATCTGCAATGCTCTTCCCTAATCACAGACACAACACGGCTACAAGGAAAGTTTCTGACCAATCATCTTTCCGTTTTTCCTCTGAACTACTTTTTTCCGGACCTATCTATCCACTTGCATCTGCAGGCGATGGAACAGATCCCCAAAGCACAAGTGCCTTATTCCTCCCCACAGCATCAGTAAGACCATTAACGGCACTACCGCCAGCCACTCAGTCCCTACCGCGGGCCGCTGGGATCCTCTCGAGATTGACCTCACTTTCCGCGCTCCACTTGCAGACGTCTCGAGGCCCCGGTCAAGTCCTGGCACCGCGACTGCGAATGATAATCGCCGCGAGCTGCCTCACTCATCGCCCTTTCCCGTTCCCTCCCCCTACCCAGATGCTTACCCCTGCCTCCCCCTTCTCCCTTGCCGCACGTCCAAGCGACATTAAAGCTCATCGCGTATGGAAACGAGGTAAACCGAAGGGCGTTAGGTTCCTGCGCGACATTATATATCCCTCTCCTTCTTTCCCCTTTCTTCGTCTCCTTCATTTTATTTTCACTTGGACTTCGTCAATTTCTTAATTTCCCTCTTCGCCTTCCTTTCTTCACTTTCACGAAATCGCAGCAGGGGCGCCCGAACAACTGATTTCCGTGAAGTAGAGCGACCTCATGCGCGCCATGACGAGAGTAGGAAGCTTACTGCAGCACCTCAAATCCTTCGCCAGGGATGCCGGGGCTCGGGAGATAACGCCATCCGTCATCCAGGAAACCAGCTTCCCCGCATCCCTTTCGCTGCACCCACCCTATGTTCCTTCGTGCTATAGCGTGGCCCCCATCCCTATACGAGTATATACCACGAACGAACAGGACAAATAATACGTGGACAACATGGATAGAACAAAAACCAAACGGCAACAATAACAAAAATTGGCCACACTTCCAAACGCACGTGGCATCAGTGCTTCGACGCCACAAAAACTCAATTCAAGGTCGTCAGAAAGTCTAGGAAAAAATAATTACATAACGACGGAATATCAATATTTTCCGTGTTTCTTGTAAAACGTTAGCATGCTTAAACACTGAATGAATAAAAGGTTAACAAAAAAACTTAATAAATAAAACAAAACATTATTTGTTATTATATTATACAGCCAGGCTTCTTATACATTACTTTATTATAATAAAGGCAGGCTTCCTACACATTACTATATCATAATAGAAAGTCAGGCTCCTTTACACTAGTATTTCACCTACTATTGTCCCATCACTCGCCAATCCATAGACGTTACCTGAAATGAGAAGGAAAATCTTGTTAATAACACGATTTCAGATCATAAAGTTAGCAAAAAAGAAAAATGTAAAGTGCATCAATTACAGACAATCAAATAAAATGACATGAATTCATTTGACAACAAAACAAAAAAGAGGTTCCTCCCATTCCTAAACTCTCACCGGATGTCCTGGTTCAACGCCATGAAAGCTGTATGTCTATACATGGCAATGTAATGCGTATAATGCAAATACATATACATACACTCACACACCCTTACATACATGCAGTACATGCATACACACATATTCATTCAAATATACACACGTGTGTATATATAGAAAAAAGAAGAAAAAAATACAGAAAATGCAGAGGAAGTAGTTGCTGAAAAAATCAGAAAGAAAGGATAAAGGAAGAGAAGAGAGGAGAGGGAAGCCGTGAGTGAAAGGCAGTGAGTGAGGTCGTGACACCCTGACCCTCGGCGCCTGAGGGGATTTCGGCGCCGCCTCGAACCAGGTTTCCCAAGAGCTTTTGCCAAACCCTCTCCCGGCCTCGCAGCCTTACCTTGGATCAATTCACTCTACTCTAGTATATCAATTATATCTATCCTCTGGACCCTCTGTCGGATCAACCAAATCCTTCCAATCTACCCCTGTTGTCTACTGGATCCGCCTAATCATACATTTTCTATCCACTCATTCTACTCTCGCCAAATTTACCCTTGTTCTATCCACTATGTCCATGCAGTCTATCCCTACTCTCTCTTTTACTGGCTATCCACATTCAAATGAACAGGATAGTGGAACAAAAACAAGTTAAAACAGAAGACGGATGGAGTGAGAGGCCACATTACTCATCCACCTCATTTACCTTTAAAGGGAAAAATTAATCAGCGACAAAGCCCGTTGTTTACCCAGGACCCCCGCCCTCAATGCCCCCTACCCCCTAAAAGTCCCTCAGGTTAATGGCAAAAGAGAACGCAATTGATGCTGAGCTATCCCGAGCTCAGTTGTTTTTTCATAACGATTCCTTCGAAAGATAAGGACTCCGGATGAAAAGAGAAAGATAAGATAGAACGGTAACTATGACGAAAGCACAGAAGCGAGGAAAAAGGAAATTATGAAACAATACGAGATATAACGCAAGTGACATTTTTCAGTCGACGGACAGGCGGGCGCAGCCTCAATGGGCACACACTCACGTCCACGCAGGCTCTGCAGAGTGTGAGGCACAAGGAAAAAAACGAATGCTGAGGCTACTGCGGCAAGGCATTACATATTCATAGAGGTCTCTCCATTGGCGTGGCATACCCCTCTCCTCCCCCCCCCCCACACACACACTTGCACATATACTGTATACACACTACCTCAAATCACAAACATACACACACATGTATAAACTCGGGTAGATATATCAAAGCCCTCCCCTCATTACACGAGACATACACACGCATACAAACAAGCATACACATCCACCCACACTCCCGCACACACACACACTCCGCACCACCTATTAGCACCGCATCACCCCCATAATTGCGAGCTGCACGAACTCCCTTACAACCACTTCCCTTGTAATCAACCAATTACACATGAGGCAATTCAGCAACCAGATACACACTCACGAGGAAAAAAACGGAAAGAAACCCTTTGATTTTCATAATTTCTTTCACGGTGAAAACAGCAAACCATAAGCACACTCGTCAGGGGGCATTGCCGAACAAAAATACGTTTTCCTTTCATCCTTCCTGCGAATCAGAGTGAGAATAAAAAACCCACTGATTGCTACGTAGAAATCTGTTTGTATCTAGGGTTGACTACTAGCGTTTTAACCCCCCCCCCTATATATATATATATATATATATATATATATATATATATATATATATATATATATATATATATATATATATAGAGAGAGAGAGAGAGAGAGAGAGAGAGAGAGAGAGAGAGAGAGAGAGAGAGAGAGAGAGAGAAATATATTTGTATGTGTGCACAAAAGCTATTATAGTAAATAACTGCAAACACAATAAAATAACATTGAACGTTAAATGAACAAATGTGTTCGAGAGTCCTCGATAAATCTGCAGTGATAAAATTCCCGCTCGATCGCCCACAAACTAATCAACGAATCCGATCACTCAAATATTTACACCACTATTCGGATGACAAACGATTCGCAGTTTTGGAAAAGAAGATAAAAGACGATAAAGGAATAATGATAAACAGCCATTTTTAGAAGGTTATAGAAGGCATCAGGGTACAAAAAAAAACACTGCGACTCTGTTAACGACCTGACCCTGGTTAATAGTCGGTACATTAACAGTTTCATTAGGTACTTGAATCGGGTTACGTCATGCTCGTCCGACTGACGAAGACGCTACCATTATTCTCCGACGCGTTCTTTCTGTGTGCCTCTTCCCTCTGCCCCGGGCCCCTCTCGCTTTATTTCTCGCCTGTCATTTATCTCTCTCCCCTTTTTCTTCCCACGCCTCTCTCTGTCTGTTTCTCTCCCGTGTACCCTCTTCCTTCCCCTTCTCCTCCCCTCCCCCATAACCCCGACCAAGACGACCCCCTCTGGTTCCAGGAGCGTGACGACCCCCGGCGCGTACGACCTCCCGGGAGAGGCGGAGGAGCTGCAATGCAATGACCTTCGGCGCAATGAGGTGCTCGCCTTCAGGGCCCATTAATTAAATTCCCCGCGTCGTGTCACTGCCCTTGCCGGCTCCTGACCTAGCACGGATTCACTGCAGAGGGGCGCCGCAAGACTCCGTGTTAGGTCAGGTCGTCTTTCCCTTGCAGGATTAAGACAGCTAGTTCGACGTGCACGTAGAATTATGAATAAGGTAAAAAAAAAAATAAGAAGGTAAAAAGAGAGAAAGAATGACTGGAAGAAACAAGGAAACAAAACAAAAACAACAACAACAACAGGTACAATCAATCAATGATGCAGCAAAAAACGCATACCAACAAAAATAAAAAACCCTGAGCGGATCGTCGTCCTCTGCGTGACTTCCATCTGGAATCCTTCAATCAAACATTCCCGGGAGATCTGGAGTCGGCCTTTGGCTCTTAATCCAAGACCCTGTGGCGCCGTTTGCTTCTTTTCGGGAGAGAGGGAGGCAGGGAAGGAGGCAGGCAGGGAGGGTGGGAGGGATGGAGGGAGGTGAGAAGAGAGGGTGGAAGAGAGGGAAGGGGGGAGAAAGGAAGGAAGGAAGGAAGGAAGGAAGGGTGAGAGAAATAGAGAAAGAGAAAGAGAGAAAATGGGATGGGGAGGGAGGGAAGGGGGGGAGGGAGGGAGGGAGGGAGGGAGGGAGAGAGAGCTGTTACTTAACAACAGCACGGCAGGACCAAAGGAAAGATTATATTTACCTGCGCGTGTCTAGTATACATAAACATATGTTTGTATATCAGACTTGCCTCTTCCCTGCCCCTTCCCCCCATTTTCAGGTCACACTCCTTCCCTCTCAATCTTCAGTCACGGACTATCACCCATGCAACATGCAAATATTGCAACAGGAAAATGCAAAAGCAGGTCGGTCTCAACGCCTCCTCCTGCTCCTCCTCCTCCTCCTTCTATCCTTCATCCTTTTCCTCCTCCTC